TAAGAAAAAAATGTAGAAATATTTGGCCGAGAAATTCTAATGTTGAAAAGGTTAAAACATTGCCTACTGAAAGCCTTCACTGATACGAATGATATGTAACATTCTGCACAACTTTGAGATAATTGAAACCTAGATATTTGAAATACGAGTAAAATTGTCTATATACTGTAAAATAATTTATTTTAGCTGGAATTAATTTTCGCTGAAAAGACTTTTGGGTGTTTTGTATGGAATTTATTTTTACTGATTCTTAATGATTTAAGTGTAAAATATAGGAAAAAAATGTATATTCGCTGGATTTTATTTTCACTAAATTATCCCTTCAGCGAAAATAGCGAAAATAAAGTAATTTACAGTAGTTGACACCTACCTGTTGACTGTGGAATATTCTAAGTAGTTTATCTGCGTCATATTGCGGTGGTAAAGCCGGTAAGTACAAACTCGCTTCATGTAATCTTGGTTCATCTAACCACAGTATAAATGTCTGATACAATCTAATGATATAAAACATAGTGAAACTATGAAAACCTTGCCAATAGTCCATTGACAAAGTTATCAGTGAAACTGACATTTAATTTTCATGATTTGAGCCATTTCATGTTTTAAGTTCATGAACTTTGAAAGGAAACAATGAATTCTATTGTTAATTTACATTTTCACATGGATTTAATTTTACTTACCAATGCAAACAACAAAGTTAAAAACTAGCCAATAATTAATGCATTTACAGTATTAAACCGCCGCCCACTCAGATATGGTGACTCATTGGATGAAATCAACAATTTTGATAAAAACAAAACCTCACAACCTCACCATGGGCTAGCCAGAAGCTGGTGTCTGACAAATCCTCATTTATGCATAACTATTTTTTAGCCATGTACAAGTCTGTTTATGTAACATATTACTTTCACTGAATTAAACATCCGTGTTTATTGCGATTTGTTTATTTTTACTTCATGATGAGATACAGATGAAATATCAGCCAGCAATGTATTGTGGGCTAAATAAAATCAATTGTGGACGGATAAAGCCCAGCACAGGTCCTTTCCCTTATTAACACACAGCAAGACAATCTCAGTGTACGAAGTCAGTCAAAATGCTGGACTACTCTGTTTATTAAAAAACTGGATGAACGTTGTGTACAAGACCAACTAACAAGACTAACACGTGAAACATGCTTTCGATCGGACGTGTATTTTTGCGTGTATAGCGCGTGATCGTTGAAATTACTTCTCCTACGTTCGCAATGGGCCCGACTTTTAAAATGGTCAATCTGGCAAGATTTGTGTTTGTTTCTGAACTTGTAATGCTTATAACTCAGCGACTAAAGGCCAGATCGCAATCAGAGAAACATGTATAAGTAACTATAAACACGAACTCGAACATAAAAACATTTGCATAAAACATTGATCAATAATTGCACAATAAATGGGAATTTTGCGATCTCAGCGAGACACAATCTTACTTACTTAACTAAGCATTGATGGTATTCAACAGATGTCTGGTATTTCAACTGCTCCAATGGAGGTGTCTCTCTCCCATTCGTGGAACCTCCATCAGATGCATGCTGGGAGTTGGTATCTGAATCAGAATCTGGTGTAGATGCATGA